AACAATGCACAGGGTTTCCTTTTCTCCACATCCTCACCAACACTTCCTGTGTCTTTTTCAGAACAGCCATTCTGATAGATGTGAGGTGGTATGTCTCATTGTGGCTTTACATTTCTCTGATGATTAGTGACATTGAACTTCTTCACGTCCATCAGCCATCTGTAGGTCCTCTTTGGTGAAATATCTATTCAGGTCTTCTGCCCATCGTTTAACCGATTGTTTTTTTTCTGGTGTTAAGTTGCATAGATTCCTTATATATTTATTATAACAAGTCTTGTTTTTGTTTCTTCCTCTGTTTATTTTCCCTTATATATTTTGGATATCAATACCTTATCAGATGTATTATTGATGAATACATTTTCACCTTCAACAGGTTGTATTTTCATGTTGTGGTTTTCTTCAGTGTGCAAAACTTTAGTTTGTTGTAGTCCCATTTGTTTTTCTTTCGTTTTCCTTGTCCAAGGAGACATACCCAAAAGGACTGCTAAGGCCCTGGCCGGTGTTCTCAGTGGTTAGAGCATCAGCCGGTGCATTAAAGTGTCTTGAGTTTGATTCCCACTCAAGGGCACATACCTGGATTACAGGTTCACTTCCCACCCCTGGTTGGAGATGTGCAGAAGGCAACCAATTGATGAGTTTCCCTTACATCAGTGTTTCTTTCCCTCCCTCTCTCCTGCACTCCCTACCTCCCTCCCTTCCTCTCTCAGACCCAGCCATTGTGGCTCAGTGATTGAGCACTGACACATAAATCAAGAGGTCACAAGTTTGATTCCCCGTCAAGGGCACATGCTCTGGTTGTGGGCTTGATCCCCAGTAGGGGGCGTGCAGAAGGCAGCCAATCTATGTTTCTCTATCATCAATGTTTCTATCCCTGTCCCTAAAACAATAAAAACATATTTAAAATTAAATAAATAACATATTTAAAAAGAAAAAACATTCTTGGGTGAGAATTAACAACAACAAAAGATTGCTAAGACCCATGTCAAAGAGTTTACTGTTTTCCTCTAATAATTTTGGTTTCCAGTCTTTTTTTTTTTTTTAATATATTTTATTGATATTTTACAGAGAGGAAAGGAGAGAGATAGAGAGCTAGAAATGTCGATGAGAGAGAAACATCGACCAGCTGCCTCTTGCACACCCCCCACTGGGAATGTACCCGCAACCAATGTACATGCCCTTGACCGGAATCGAACCTGGGACCCTTCAGTCCGCAGACCGACGCTCTACCACTGAGCCAAACCGGTTTCGGCTGGTTTCCAGTCTTATGTTTAAATCTTTAATCCGTTTTGAGTTTATTTTTGAATATAATGTAAGATAGTGATACAATTTATTTTACATTTACTACATATTATTTAAATCCTCACCTGAGGATATTTTTCTATAGATTTTTAGAGAGAGTGGAAGAGAGAGGGAAAGACAGAAATATTGATGTGAGAGGAACGCATTGATTGATTGTCTCCTGCATGTGCCTGACCTGGGTCCGGCCAAGGAGAAGCCTGCAACCAAGGTATGTGCCTTGAGCAGAATTAAATTTGGGACCTTTTGGTCCGTAGGCCAATGGTCTATCCACTGGGCCAACGGGCCAGAGCAGAAAGTGATCCAAATTTAACTTTTTCTCAATATTACCTATTGAAGAACCTGTTTTTATCCCATTTTATTTCCCTTTTCTTTATCCTACATTAATTGGTCATATAAGCAAGGATTTCTCAGCTTCGTGTTCTCTTACATCTATATGTCTGTTTTTATGCTACTGCCATGCTATTTTTTAAAAATATATTTTATTGATTTTCCACAGAGAGGAAGGGAGAAAGATAGAGAGCTAGAAACGTCGATGAGAGAGAAACATTGATTAGCTGCCTCCTGCACATCCCCTTATGGGGGATGTGCCTGCAACCAATGTACACGCCCTTGACCGGAATCGAACCTGGGACCTTTCAGTCAACAGACCAACGCTCTACCACTGAGCCAAACCGGTTTTGGCTGCCATGCTATTTAAAAAAAAAAAAAAAATTAAGTGTATTGGGGTAACATGGTTAACAGAATCATACAAATTTCAGTTGTACAACCTTGTAATACACATCTATACAGTCTATTGTGTGCTCACCACCTGAAGCCTAGTCTCCCGCTCCCACCATATATTTGACCCTTTTACCCTCTGTCCACACCTCTTCCCTTCTGGTAACCCCCTTCCTGTTGTCTGTATCAATAACTTTATTTGTTGCTTTTTGTTTTATATCCAACATGAATAAAATCATATGGTTCTTATTCTTTTTTATATGATATATCTCACTTAGCAAGATTTGCTGCAAATGGACATACTTCATCCTTTTTATGGCCAAGTAGTATTCCCTACCACCTCTTTATCCAGTCATCCATCAAAGGACACTTAGGTTGTTGCCATATATTGGCCACAGTCAACATAGGGATACATATAGTCCTATGACTAAGTGCTTTCAAAATGTTTGGGTAGCCGAAACCGGTTTAGCTCAGTAGTAGAGCATCGGTCTGCGGACTGAAAGGTCCCAGGTTCAATTCCGGTCAAGGGCATGTACCTTGGTTTTGGGCACATCCCCGGTAGGGGGAGTGCAAGAGGCAGCTGATCAAAATGTTTGAGTATCCCTAGACAGTTTGCCTCAGTGGATAGAGCATTGGCCTGCAGACTGAAAGGTCCCAGGTTCCATTCTGGTCAATGGCATATGCCCAGGTTGCAGGCTTGATCCCCAGTGGGGGGGGGGGGGGGGGGCATGCAATGATTCTCATTATTTATGTTTCTATTTCTCTCTCCCTCTCCCTTCTCTGATTAAAAAAAAATTTAAGTTATAAAAATCAGGGAGGGTGGGGGACAGTGGGGATAAGATCAACCAAAGGACTTGTATGCATAAATGTTAGCCTAATCAATGCACACAGACAACAGAGGGGTAGGGGGTAAAAGAAGAATAAGGACACATATGTAATACCTTAATAAAGTAAAAAAAAAGTTATAAAAAATTTTGGGGGGTAAATACCCAGAAGGATTACTGGGTCATGGTGGTAGCTCTATTCTTTTTAAAATCTATATATTTTTTTTATTACTTTCATAGAGGGAGAGGGAGAGAGAAATAAAAATGTCAATGATGAGGGAGAATCACTGATTGACCACCTTCTGCACACTTCACACTGGGGAACTAGCCCGCAACCTGGGCATGTGCCCTGTCTGGGAATCAAACCTGTGACCTTCTGGTCCATAGGTCTACAACCACTGAGCCATGCTGGCTGGATGTCTCTCATCCTATGACAGTGAGGTTGAGGTTTTCTGTCTAAGAACACACAGTATGTTCCTGTTTCCTTCAGTGCCTTTCCGGAGCATTCTCCAGTTTTCCTATTTAGGTTTGGACTAGTCTTATTACCTGCAGACCACGTCTGTTTGTGTTGCTCTTTATGCTGCTGTAAATGGAGTCTTCTCACCCATTATATTTTCTTATTTTTCTTTTTAAATTAGAGAGGAGAGAAACATTCATTTGTTTTTCCACTTATTTATGCAGTCATTGGTTGATTCTTGTATGCACTTTACTGGAGATTGAACCCAAAACCTTAGTGCATTGGGAAGACGCTTTAAGCAACTGAGCTACCAGCCAAGGCTCATCCATTATACCTTCACAGAGAAGCTACTGTTTGTGTATACAAAAGCTGTTGATTTTATTTTAAGGCATTTTCCTTCTTATTGAAATATATCTTACAGAAAACTCATAAGGGCACACTCGATGAAATCCCCATTATCATCACCCAGTTCAAACAGGAAACATTTAAGTCTCCCAGCTTTTTTGTCAAGGTTAACTGTCAACCTGACTTCTTCCACATTGGTTTATGTTAATGTTCTTAGTTTTTATGTTTATTTTTATTGACTTTAGAGAGGATCAAGCCGTAACCTAGGCATGTGCCCTTGACTGGAATTTAACCCGGGACCCTTCAGTCCATAGACCAACGCTCTATCAACTGAGCCAAACTGGATATGGCTTTATGTTTATTTTTGTATCACTTGCTAATATGATTAACTTCCATTATAGCTTTCTATTGATTCCTGGCAGTCACATTAAAGGAGATAATTTTTCCTTTCTAATTTTTTTTTTTTTTAAGACTTTATTGATTTTTCACAGAGAGGTAGGGAGAGAGAGTTAGAAACATCAATCAACTGGCTCCCTTACATTCCCCATTGGGGATGTGCCCGCAACCAAGGTACATGCCCTTGACTGGAATTGAACCTGGGACCCCACAGTCCGCAGACCGACGCTCTACTACTGAGCCAAACCTGTTTCAGCTCCTTTCTAATTCTTATGTCTGCAATTGCTTTTTCTTGTCTCATGGCCACCATTGCCAATAGTGTTAAATTATAGGAAATTAGTATATGTATTTTCTTGACCCATTCTTTTTTTTTTTTTTTTTTAATTATTTTTGGCCGAAACCGGTTTGGCTCCGTGGATAGAGCATCGGCCTTCGGACTCAAGGGCATGTACCTTGGTTGCTGGCACATCCCCGGTGGGGGGTGTGCAGGAAGTGGCTGATTGATGTTTCTATCTCATCGATGTTTCTGACTTTCTATCCCTCTCCCTTCCTCTCTGTAAAAAATCAATAAAATATTTTTTTAAAATTATTTTTTATTTCAGAAAGGGAGATGGAGAGATGCAAACATCAATGATGAGAATCATTGGCTGCCTCCTGCAGGTCCCACACTAGGGATCGAGCTTGCAACTCGGGCATATGCCTCACTGGGAATGGAACCCTGGCCTCCTGGTTCATTGGTCAATGCTCAACCACTGAGCCACATTGGCCTGGCTCTTGCTCCATTCTTTGGTGGCAAAACCTCTAGTATTTGTCCGTTAAGTAAAGGCTGGCTCTCAGGCTGAAGTGTTAAACACCTTTCACAGACAAAGAGACTGAGGTGAAACAAGTCCCAAAGGTAGATTGAGATGGAAGCAAGAGCTCAACCTGTGTCCTGATGTCAACCTTGCCTCCTGCCCCTACAGGAGATTGTAAACTTCAACTGCCGGAAGCTGGTGGCCTCGATGCCACTGTTTGCCAATGCTGACCCCAACTTTGTCACGGCCATGCTGACCAAACTCAAGTTCGAGGTCTTCCAGCCAGGTGACTACATCATCCGTGAAGGCACCATTGGCAAGAAGATGTACTTCATACAGCATGGCGTGGTCAGTGTGCTCACCAAGGGCAACAAGGAGATGAAGCTGTCCGATGGCTCCTATTTCGGGGGTTAGTGTCTGGGGACCAGGGAACAGGAATACGAAGCCGGACCCTTCCTGGGGATGGAGGGTTATGTGGGGAGGCCCGGAGCGCTGGCAGGAAGGACTCTGACCAGAAGGGCCACGTTAGCAGAGGGCGGGCTAGACTGTGTTCAGGGCAGCAGGGAGCACCCCAGGGAGGAATGGGTGCAGCTGGGTGTTGCCCAGCCCCTGAGGTGCCTCCCTTGACCACAGAGATCTGCCTGCTAACGCGTGGCCGGCGCACAGCAAGCGTGCGGGCTGACACCTACTGCCGCCTCTACTCCCTGAGTGTGGACAACTTCAACGAGGTGCTGGAGGAGTACCCCATGATGCGGCGGGCTTTCGAGACGGTTGCCATTGACCGCCTGGACCGTATTGGTGAGTGGGCCTGGCTATGGTCATAGAAGGAACAGTGCTGAGATGGGAGATGGCGTGGCCTAGATGACCCGCAGGAAATTGGTTCTGACCGGCTTTCTCCCCCGGCCAAGCACAGCCCTGGTTTCCCAAGGAAGGAAAGTGTGGGGCGTTTCCAGTTGTGCAGAACTCTGAAGACTTGGCAAACACTTGCTGAGCACCTACGTGTGCCAGGAGGAGGTACAGCTGGTGGGCCGTGAAGATGTCTCTGGCGCTGCCCTCTGGAAGCTTACGTCATAGAGGGCATGTGGGAGCGGTGAGGCTTCCTGCAGATGCTGTTGGAAACCAGCATTAGCAGGTGCTGCTAGGATGACATGGGTGCGGTGTGTGCAAGGCCCTGAGGTGAGAGAGGCCTGGAGTCCCGAGAGCCAGGGAAGCTAGGAGGAGGGAGGCTGGGGAGGTAGGCGAGACCCCAGGCACACAGGGCCTAGTGGGCAGGGCTGGGGGAAGACATTTGGACTATAAATCAGGATTCAGGGAGCCACAGACAATTCTAGGCAGGGGAGGACCTGACCAAATTTATATTCTACAAGGGTATACAGGTGGGTGGTATGTGGTAGCCTTGGGTGTAAGGTGAAGTAGAGGGAATCTCGGAAATAGTGGGGATGTGAGGCCCTCAGGACTGGCTGGCAACTAGAGGCAGGGAGATAGTGGCCCTTGCTGCTACCCGTTTCCCAGAAAATAAGACATCCTCCGAAAGTAAGACCTAGGGCATGGAAAGATAAGACATCCCCTGAAAATAAGACCTAGCGCAACTTTGGGCGAAAAAAATAAGACACTGTCTTACTTTCAGGGAAACAGGGTATTTGTGGGAATAAAGACAATGGCTGAAAAAGCAGGACTGGATAGGGCCGACAGGGGTTAGAGGGAAGCCATTTTTGTATACAGGAGGTGCTCGATACATGTTTATATACAAAAGAAACTCAACAATTGGCTCTATACAGTAGGTATTTAACATATTTATGAGTGAGAGGTGCTTGGACTTACTTGCTAAATACAACAGGCACTCGAACACATGCCTATTGTATGTTATACACTTGGCACTCTGGCAGTGAGTAGGGTATGTTGCTGTATACTATAGGTGCTCAATACATGATTGTTACATACAAGAAAAGCTCCATGTATGCTGGCAGTCTACATAGGTGTCTCATACCTGCTTTATGTATGCAGCAGGTGCTTTTCGCTTGCTACACACAATAGGTGCTTGGTACCTGTTTGTATATAAGTCGCGCATACCTGCTATATACAGAGGTTCTCAATTTTTGCTTCCCATACACAGCAGACACTTGTATCATCCCTTTATGTACAGGAGGCTTTCAATACAATAGAGAGTAGGTGCCAATACCCACTTGCTATATGCAGGAGGCACTCAATACACTTGATTCTTATCACTGTATGCAGGAGGTGCCCAGTAGTGCCTGTGGTATGCTTTGCATACAGGCTATAGAGAGTAGGAGTCCGATACATGATGCTTGGTGTATACAGGAGGCAATCGCTATACATCTGTATATGCACAGACTGTAGAGAGCAGGTGAGAATACCTGCTGGCTGCTTGCAGGAGGCCGTGTATGTGTTCTGGCTCGAGAGAGTAGGTGCCTGACCTGCTTGCTTTATGCAGATGTTCTGTGTCTACTGGTTGTAGTGTTCTGTGCCAATACCCGGTTGATGTATGCAGGAGGTGCTTAGTAGATGCAGCAGTGTGCCTACTGGATACACCCGCTCACTGTATCCAGGAGGCGCTCCCCTGTGCACTGACAACTCCCCTGTCCCCAGGCAAGAAGAACTCGATCCTGCTGCACAAGGTCCAACACGACCTCAACTCGGGCGTGTTCAACAACCAGGAGAACGCCATCATCCAGGAGATCGTCAAGTATGACCGGGAGATGGTGCAGCAGGCCGAGCTGGGCCAGCGCGTCGGTCTCTTCCCGCCGCCTCCGCCGCCGCAGGTCACCTCGGCCATTGCCACGCTGCAGCAGGCCGTGGCCATGAGCTTCTGCCCCCAGGTGGCACGCCCACTCGTGGGGCCCCTGGCACTCAGCTCGCCCCGCCTTGTGCGGCGCCTGCCCCAGGGGCCTGTGCCTGCTGCCACTGCCTCACCAGGGCCCCCACCTGCTGCTAGTCCCCCGGGCGCACCTGCCAGTCCCCGGGCACCACGGACTTCGCCCTACGGCGGCGCGCCCTGCTCTCCGGCTGCCCCCCGAGCGGGGCCCGCACTTCCAGCGCGCCGCCTGAGCCGCGCCTCGCGCCCGCTGTCTGCCTCACAGCCCTCGCTGCCCCACGGCGCCACGGGCCCCGGCCCCGCAGCTTCCGCGCGCCCAGCCAGCAGCTCCACGCCGCGCCTGGGGCCCGTGCCCACCACGCGGGCGGCCGGGCCCAGCCCGGACCGCAGGGACTCGGCCTTGCCCAGCGTCACAGGAGGCCTCGACCCGCTGGACTCGGCGCGCTCGCGCCTCTCGTCCAACTTGTGACCCTCGCCGCACCGCCCCCCGGGCCCGGGCGGGCCGGGGGCGGGCCTTCATCCAGACCAAAGCCATGCCATTGCGCGCTGCCCCGGCCGCCCACCCCAGAAGCCATAGAGGAGACGTAGGTAGTTGTAGTCGGACGGACGGGCCCTGCCGTCCCCCCCCATCACCCTGCGCCCACCCATATCGCCCCCGCATCCCGGTGGTGGCCTCGCAGGAATGGGAGGGGGCTCCCTTCACCTCGGTGCCTCAGTTTCCCCAACTGTGAAACAGGGAGGGAGCCACCCCATGCCGAAAGGAGATAGCTGTGGACTTCCGCCCATCCCTACCCTCGTAGCTGGCCCGCTGTCCGATGAGGATTCTGTTTAAGTGCAATACTTGGCCTGCTGGCTTCCTGCTGCCCACATCGCACTCACGCAATAACCGGCCCGGCCCCTGTCCATGCGCACCCCCTGGTGACTTCCTGGAGCGGGCACTAGCAGCATCCTCCAGCGCCCAGGGGTCGGCAGTCCTGGCTACACCTGGGTGTGGGGGCAAGGCTGGGGACTCCCCACCTTTGTGATGAATGTACTGACTAGCCGAGGCAGCAATGCTCCCACACCCCCACGCCCCACTAACCCCACCCCCCATTCCGCGCAATAAACGACAGCATTGGCGCCCAGCCTGCCCGCATCTGCTTGCCGGGAGCCAGACAGCAGGTGGCGCACACCCTCTCCCTGCAGAAGGCAGCGCTCCCCAGGTAGCAACAGCTTTATTTACACTATGGTACAGAGGCCCAGGGCAGCCGGGCCGGCCTGCATCAGCTGAAGAAGTATGTCGAGTGCTTTACCTGGTCCAGGTCGAAGGTCCCTGCAGAACAGAGCAGGCAGACCATGAACTCTGGTCCCGGGATGGACTAGAAAGGCCCAGCCAGCAATTGGGACACCCTCCCCTGCCCATGGCCCTACCTGTCTTGGGTACTGACAGTAGCATTTCCTGCAACTTGACGACTTGGGCGCTGGTGGACCTGAGGCAGAGAGCAGAGGGAGTGAGGTCCCGGAAGGATGGGGGGAGGGGGAGAGATATAAAGGGAGGGGGGGCTCACCTGGGGCCAGAGCAGTACCGCTCCACCAGAAACCTGGAGAGGTTGTGCAGGATGGGCTGGCTGTGCAGGCGAATGAACTGCTCTCGGCACACCTTGTGGGGAGAGGGGCTGCTTCAGGAGCTGGGAATAAGGGCCTGAGGGATGGCGTCACCACCGTGCCCCAGCACCTGAATGGGCACGGGAACCAAAACCAGACGGAGGCTTTGGGTTCAAGGCCCCACATAGGACCAGGGCTGTCCATTCTTGGGAAGGTGGGACATGGCGGGCACCTGATTCATGATGGCGACGTCAGCTGCGTGGGTCCAGAAACAGTCGTGCACAGAGACAAAGGTCAGGCCCTTCCTGCAGCAGAGGGGGGTGTTCATGAGGAGGGCCCGTCCTCTGGGTCCACTCAGGGCCCAGCTCCTGAACACTGGTCTGGGGGGCTCAGTCCAGGGATGTGCCACCACCCTCTTCTCTCACGCCCCGCCTCCCCCCATTCCTGCAACTGTCCCCTGTGTGCTGGGCAGAGGTAGGACCTACCTGTAACAGTGCAGGGCTGTGAGCATCATGTGCGACGAGTCCAGGGAGTGGATAAAGTTGGGTGGGAAGCCATTCTTCTGCTTCAGTGTGTTGGGCTTCCTGTGTGTGGGGTTGGGCTATGCTCAGGTAGAGGACCCAGTACCTATATCCTAGTCAGCACCCCCTCGGTCCTCACCCAGCTGTCTCTCAGTCCGGCTACCCCCTCCTGCGCACTCACTGGTTGGTGTCCCCACTGCTGCAGAAGGTGAGACTCTGGATCCCTCCGCCGATCTGTAGGATTGGGATGGAAGGAGAATGGGGCATGAGGCCTGCCCTGGCAACGGGGGTGCAGGTGGGGGTGGGGGCCATACATACCGATACTTTGGAGTCGTGATGGTAGGGCTGAATGATGGGAATGCCCAGAGGGGTGATCCACTCCACAGCCAAGCCGGATCGAGCGATGAGCCGGGCACTCTCGGTCAGCCAGCGCTGAGGGATGGAACAGGCTCAGTGTGGGCCCAATCTGGGAAGTCACACTGGGAGGAGGAGGAGGACATACCTGGATGGCCCGAGTGCTTGAGAACATTTCCTGAAGACTGTTGAACACCTGGCGCACGAGGTAGTGAGAGGCCTGCCACACGAACTCCTGGGACGGGCAGGGCGCAGAAGCGGTAGGGCAGACTTGAAGGGAAGGGACAGCCTCTGTGCCCCCCACAGCCCAGGCCACACCTCACAAGGCTGTCCCAGATACCTGAGGTCCACACCCCCATTTTTCAGGTGTAGAAACCAAGGCCTGAGGCCCAAGAAGATAGCTTGCCCCTCTGGATCCCTCCCTCTGTACCCCCCTCGCCCCACAGCGGGGGAGACAAGCCGCCCTCAGAGCTGCCCGCTGCCAGCAGGGGAAGCTGCAGCTGGGCTGGGGCGAACCGCACACCTGGGGGAAGTCGCTGAGCTCGCGGAGGCGCTTCTCAATCTGCAGGCGGCCGCCGTAGCGGGTGACGCCGTACACCACGGTCATCACCGTCTGCTTGACCACCTTGCGGCTGATGAAGCCCTCTAGCACCTTGGCCACCTGCACGCCCCGCTCGGCGTCCTGCCTGCGGAACACCTCCACCTGCCACGGGCGGCGGTCAGCAGGTGACCCCGGGCCTCCGCCTGCCTCCCTGTCGGCTCACCCACCCTACCAGCAGCACCCCATGAGGTCCCTTCTCTGCTGGCCTCACAGTTCCCCCTTCTGCCACCTCCCCTAGGGGCCCAGTCACATCACACACAACAGGAGAGGCCATGGGGTTGGGAACACGCAGGTAGTCACAGGACAGAGACCCCAGGGAGGCTTTGGGGAAGAGAACGGGTTAGGGGGCCAGTGCCCACCTGTGCGGCTACGCTGCTGTACACATCCTGTGGCACGTCTGAGGGCATCAGGTTGACAGAGGCAGCCCCCACGCTGTCCCGGCCCAGGGCGGCATAGTGTTGCAGGCCATTACAGGAGCCATCCTAGCCGAGGAGGAGATGGTGAGGGGTCTGGGCAGGGCTGGTAGGAGCATCCTTGGCAATGAACCCAGCACTCTGCTCATAGTGCCAGCTTGCTGGATCCCAATGCTTAGTGGCAGGTGTTGTTAACTCATCACAAAGAGGAAACTGAGGCACATGAAACAGGGAATGTGCTGCATGAGGCTACAGTACAAGCCCCGGGGGACCCATTGGGGCTGGCCCCCGCACAAAGACACCAGCTAGATGCCTACTGTCCTGCAGAACCTCAGACTCGAGACAACTGGATAGTCCCCCTCCACACAAGGGTTCCCACCAACTCACCTGGTGAACGGGGAAATGGGAGATGTAAGCAGCAGGGTTGGGGGCACGCACGGCCCGAGCAATCTCCATGCAGCAGGCCAGGGCTTGCCAGGGCTCATCTGCCTCCATCCACCACTTCCGGCCCTGCAGGAGGGCAGTGTGCTGGGTGAGGCTGGTGGGGTCAGTGGGCTGGGGCTTCCTGAGCACGAATGGGAGCTGGGCTGGCCCAGGTGATGTGAGGACACACGGAGCCTGAGACAGAGCCTCGGGGACAGCAAGGTGAGGACAGGAGTGATGGACCACGGAGGAAGACGGGGCCCAGCCCTGAGGGAGCAGCCATGAGATGGGGATGGAAAGAGGGCTACACAGAGTGGGAGGTGGCAGATGGACTGAGGCAAAGGAAAAGGCCAGGAAAAGTTTGTCCTACGGGGAAGACTCGGGAGGCTAGGGTTATTGATTCTGGCCTAGAGGGGATGCCTGAAGGGTGTCCCAGGCGTGTGCTGAGGTGGCTGGAGCCAGAGTGAGGACAGGCCAAGGTACAGACAGAGGGAGAAGGTCGCCCCTACCGTCATGGGCTGGTCGGCTGAGTCCAGGATGTCGCTCATTATCTCATCAGCGAAGGCCAAGCGTGCCTGCAGCGACTCACGCTTCTTGAGCCCGGTGAGGTTGACCAAGTGAATCTTGAGCCAGTTAAGGCCATGGGGGCCAAGAGGCCGGCCCTCGGCAAACTCCAGCAGGGCCCGTGCCAGGTCACTGCCCAGGTGGTTGAAGTGGGGTGGGCAGGGGTAGGTGCGTCCTCGGAAGTCCATGTTGTGCGGCAGCCAGAAGACATGGTGCCGCAGGTGATGTGCCAGCGAGAGGCGGTAGAGGGCATCGGTCCGCAGGCTATGCATCTCCCGCGCCACCTTCAGGCAGCGGGCCAGCTCCCGCCGCAGCTCCGTCTTGAGCTCCGGAGAGGCATTGGCTGGCAGGCGCTGCTTGGATGGGCGGGGCGCCTCAGAGGCAGGGGATGGCACGCCCAGGCGGGGGCAGCCCTTGGCATTGAAGATGGTCAGCACCAGGTCCAGCACTCGCCCATTGACACGCCAGGCACAGTTGCCCAACTGAGTGAGGGCGTCTAGGGCACCGTGCAGCTCAGCGGGTGGGCAGCCCTCCAGCAGGCGCTGGTGCTGTATGGTGCCCTCCAAAGAGCGCATCAGCTTGGTGGGGCTCAGCAGGAAGGCACCTGAGTGTGGCGAAGTCCAGGGCAGGGGCGGGCACAGCATGGGCACTTCGGCTGCCTCAAAGGTCATGGTGCGCTCGGCCGCAGTTTCCAGCAGCTGTACGAAGGCTGGATGTGGCTTCAGGATCCCAATCTGGGGGTCAGAATGGGCAGACACCGATCAAGGAGTCAACTGCCCCAAAGGCAAGCAGCAGGCCGAGGGCCCCAAGGCCCCATCGATGCCTTATCCTGAGATCAGGCCATGACAGCAGGATTCCCACCGTGGCCCGGAGTTCCCACACCACCCTGAGCCCCTAGCCTCATCTCAGACCCCACACTCTAAGTGCCTTCTGCTGCTGGAGTCAGGGGAGGGCTCTTTAGGCCCAGAAGCCAGTTTCACATCCTTTTACCTGGCGAAAGCTCTGGAAG